ATATCCAAAATACCACCTTCGTGGGTTCGGAGGTAACATTCAGTTGCGCTCCGTCCCACAAGCTGAATGGTGTCGCCAAGCGTGTTTGCCTAGAATCAGGTGGTTGGAGCGATGCGACGCCGAAATGTGAAGGTAAAGGAGCCTCTTCTATGTTCACTTTTTGTATAGTTCATAATTACAGCCAGTCTTTGTCTTTCCCAGAAATCCGTTGCTCAGAACCTGTACTGGCCGCGCACAGTTTGCTTTCCGTCACAGGAAATGACCGCATGTACGGTCGTACGCTGATACGTACAGCCGACTCGACACAGAATAGCGCACAGACTTATAAGTAAGCGAAAAAATATTAATACACTTAGCAGAATTCCAAATTCCACTAAAATTTTTTCACACAGGGTTGGCGCCTTGGCTAAATATCGCTGCGAACGCGGTTATAAGATGGTCGGCGAGGCTCTTGTGACTTGTGAAGACAATGGCCAATGGAGTGGTGCAGTTCCGGAATGCGTGTGTAAGTATTATAATTGAGTTGGTCATTTGACAATAGCTACGGGGCACCTATCGCCAGAATTCCAGCCGACTTATGTATGGGTGAATAAGTAAGCTTAGCGTAAAATTCGACTAGACCGATAAAGCGCAGTATACTTTAGTATAGCGATCATCTTTATATGAAGCGATAGAACTGAAATAATTTTTCTAACACGGTCTTTCGCATTGAATTACAAAGATGAAAAATATCCGGCTTTTGTTAGACAAGACACATTCCCAATTCTGGATATCAACTGTCCAGGTAATTTCTCGTGACCTCCTCTCGTCCAGGCCAAAAGAGGTCACTGATCTTGTCGGCGTAGTGCCTCCAGCTTCGTCTTTATCTCCACGCTGTTGTTGTTGTTGTAGCGGCTACTAAACCCCGCTCGGATCGGTTCATAAGTCAACGTTGTCGTCCGTTTCAGCTAAGAGGAGGCCCAGAAAGTGCTAGAATTCGACAGGGTCTGTCCGTAAGGACAGGGCGTTAGCTGGGCGGGGTTCTCGGGGCATGTGAAGAGGTGCCGAGAGTCATGTGGCGCTCACCACATGCCGGGCATTGGTTGGGCATATCCTCATTAATTCTGCTCAGGTATGAGTTTAGCCTGCTGTAATAGCCAGAGCGAAGTTGGGCTATTGTGGTGCTGGTCTCCCGAGTCAGACTATGTTCTGTCCCGTCCACGTCAGCAGGTTCATTCCGACAGCAGCCGGTTCTACCTACGTATTGGAATGACTCGGGTTTTATCCGACCAAAGGCTGTTGTTTCGGCGATCTAACCCCGTCTAGGTCGGCGAAATCCATCAAACTTTGTTCGATATTGGGGCTACATCTTTATCTTCATCTTCAGCTTTGCTTCCACCCTTCAATTTTAATTTTGGGTTTCTGGAAAACCAACAGGAAACGCAGAGTGATATTGACAAAACTGTTAGGTAGGAATCTCTTAGAATATTGGAGAGCAGACGAGTGTTGAAACAAAGCGATTAACTTATATGCGATGATATCTGTTGTTTGCCAAGCAGCAATGAAAGCGTTAGGATCTAAAGTAGTAGAATCAAGAATTGTTCGGAAATGTCGCGCATAACTATATTATGTATGAGCATACATTAAAGATGAATAACAGAGCCATATCAGCACTGCTCTCTGCTTTGTTCCTGGACATAGAAATGTCGAACTTTGACAAAGAATATAAGTTACAAATCCCTAGCAGAGATCAATGCACCCTGGACATTACCTGGATACACGGATTCTATTCAGTTCTACACTGACGGATACAAAATCGATAACACGGTCGGAGAGGAGTGCATTCGGAACAATTAGGAGGGCAAAAGTCATTCCGACTATCGGACTACGCGTAGCGTCCTTCAAAACATTCTTGCGGCAATACAGGAGGCTGTCGACTGCTTAAGGACAGAAGAACATCTACATTTTCTCAGATAGCAAAGTGACTTTAAAAGCTCTCACATTCACTCACATGCAACTAAGAAACAATAACGAGGCTCACTTAACGTCAGGGCAAAGCAGTTCACTCTTCACCTAGTAGGGGTACCAAGACACAGAGGTATACCGGGTAATGAGTTGGCGGATGAGCTTGCAAGAAAGGGCGCTTCCCTTCCACTTTATCCGTTATGGAAAAGACTGGGTAAGACGCTCGCTAACTGCAAGTTCACTACATAAACAGGTATTCTCCGTCTCTGAAGCAGGCCGAAGGGATGAGAATGAGCCTGAAACAGGAAGGCAACTATTGGGCGCTGGAACCACAGGAGACCTGTGTGGAACATCGGGCGTAAAAATAGTCGATTCCTAAAATTGGCCAACTGCACACTCTGGTTTGTATAGGGGTTACTATTAATCCTAGCCTAACCTAGCAATATCGAAGGGAACGGAATAGCCGATAAGATGGTTAGACATAGCTCGGTAATGTAGATTAGGGAGGCGCTTAACTGCCCCCAACCGCCGATTTGTAACATATCGCATCTACCACAATAATTTACCTCAATAAGATATTTGTGGAATAAATCAGACAACTGTGAAGTCCAAAGATCTTTGTGGTTGAGGCTTAATAAGAAACGGACCAATGATATCAGCCTGGAAAATAAACAAAAAGTTAATTTTGTCAAAGGGTGCTACTTTGGGCTCGTTATGCTCTACATATCTCCTAATGCCTTCCCTTTTCACGGGGTAGAAATTCGGACGATGTCGAACAAAAGCTTTCGAGTGACCTATTTTACTGAGCATATATGATCCTGTCATCTTGGGTGATGAGTATCGATGCAAATAGAATGACTAACTGTACAAGCTTTTTAACGATGCTAGGGCATAACGTACATATGGATGAAGACGTTAAAGTGAAAAGATCGTTCGACTTGGGACTCGGAAGTCGTTGGCAAATAACTGCCACCCCTCACAACTTCAGGATTCCCTTCCTTCTAAGAACGCTATGGACTTTTGCAATTGTCGGGCTCTTTAAAATCTATGATCCTGGGTGAATTAGGTTGAATTTCCTCAGGTTCGAATCTAATTGACTTGCTTTTCCATCAATTTATATAGTTTACTCCAAATGACTAAAGCACTTGGCTTCGTAGCCGTTTTAGATTTACAAAATGTTGCTGAAAGTTTTACAGTCCTATAGTAAATACTTTGTTTATCTCCTTTTCCTAGCATTGACAAATTAAATTCTAATGCCTTTGTTACCATCATAACAGGGCAACCAATTGAATTGTGAAATTACTTCACAACGAAATAACCGATCTCCGTTTTTTTTCAGATGTCGAATGCGGTATTCCAGCCAATATTACGAACGGCAAAGTCACCCTGGCAACAAATGTGACTTACTATGGTGCAGCGGCATTGTACGAATGTAATCCTAATTTCAAATTGGATGGAGTATCACGTCGCTTGTGTGCCGAAGATGGCACCTGGAGCCATGAAAAACCAGCTTGCATAGAAATTACATGCGATGAGCCAGATATTAGTGAAAATCTTATAGTCGACGCAGGCG